CCTTAAACACTTTCATGGACCCTCAGCATCTGATGTAATGCTGGTTTTAGATTGGATTTACTACAGTAGAAACCATTCGTCTCCACTACTGATCACGATAGCTACTTTTAATGCGTTTGTATTATGTAGTGCGAAATCGTCCCACTTTAAAATTTTTGAAGCACCTGAAACTTTGTGGGCGTAACTGAATCGCTGTAAGTTTATATCGAAGACGGATAGAGGCGATCGCCAGGGAGGGTGGAGGGAAGGAAGGGAGGGAGGGACCACCAACCGACACTGAGTCAAAGTTGTGAAAGTAGCCTAGATGATGTTTGAGAATTTGCAAATAAAATTTGTTGTTTTTCGTAAATAAATTATCGCCTTTGTATAGCTTTTTGGAAGCTGACCTGTCTGCTGATGATGCAAAAGCCGCTTGGATGTTCTTACCGTATACAGCAATGAAGAGCGCCCACTGGTTGGCCGTCAATATACAGGGTGTCCCAAAAAGTGTGCCTACTCTTCGATTGTTCATAACTCTTTTACCATTGTAGCTTTCGAGAAGCTTTAAGCACCATTTTGTAAAGCTGGCTTCAACTTATATTTACAATATAGGCGAATACACCGTTCTTTTTCATTATTGTAAATTTACGGTAGGACCTTTGTAGAAGATTTTGAGCAATGGAGGGTCATGCATACTAGGCCAATTAGAATTGTTGAGTTTAAACATAAAGTTTTTCGTTTTTCAAGGTCCTAAAAGATATGGTTACACTGTTGAGAAAGCATCACAATCTTGTTTGTTTACAAGGCTGCTTTTATAGTGATCCCAAATGGAATTTTTTATTGTAATCCCACAGTGATAAAGAGCGATCGGTGATTTGGTCCATGCAGTAAATCTAAGTTGAAGCATTTTCTATAAAGCAAATAACCTTTTTGAAAGATTTCATTACAAGCGAATTACTAGCAATCAGACACTAGGCACATTTTCTAAACAAAAGACAAAGACACTGTATATCTAAATCAGCGCCAGCCCGAGATGGGACTGAAAAAGCGAGGAGCCGTTGAGACAAGGGATTATTACGATCAAACATTTGCCACATTCTGGAACTGTTCGCGAAGAGTCAGAGAGAGAGAGAGAGAGAGAGAGAGAGAGAGAGAGAGAGAGTAAATTCATTCCAAAAAATGGAAAACGAATTTCAAAGAAGAACTAACCTCATCGTTGTACATGACATGGAATATTGTGGGATCAAACTGCTTCGCATAGTATTGATTGAGCGTGTAGGCAATAGCCTGAATTTTCAAAACTCTGTGAGGAGCACTGAAGAAAGAATGATTACTTGGTCCTTGTCATCTAGAGTTTTCTGTGAAGGTGTTAGAGCTCCCTTGTTGTTGGAGTCGACGTAGTACCATGCAACACCTTTTTGGATTCCGGGTACAGAATTGTCCGCATTTTCCATGGGCATTTTGTAAACAGCGAACCTAAGGGCATACATTTACGTACATATTAGGTACATATTAGATTCACTGGTCTGTCTGCTGTGAGTAATTTTTCCTCCTACAATTTTTCAAAGCGTATTTCAGCAACGTTTATATGGCAGCATTTTGGTGCTGCTAAAATGTCAAAAAGGAAAGGAAAATTACATCAAAAAAATTTAACACTCGTAAAAAATTCTTTTTTTGCATGCATCGTGTAAGATTTGATACGGAAAAACTGAAAATATATGTCCCTCGGAGAATGTTTTCCATATCCAAACACCAATGTGCCCCAAACTGGCGCACCATCACTGCGGACATGATTGCACCATCCGCCAATATTCGCCAAAAAACTATGGACTACACAGGATTATTACATCGTTCGTTAGGATGCCAGTCCGTTGACGAAAATGACTATCTATAAATGACTATGACCCAACGATTTGACAGTATGGGTAGACCTTTCACCTCGACAACATGCCTTGAACATACTATTTCTCGAAAGTCTTTGAGATTTCCAAGAAGTGGAAAATATTAGCGCAATATAAATCAATACTCGCCAATCCAGTAAGACGTATAATCATTTTAAAGAGCAGAATTCTATAAAGCTAAAGCAGAAGTTATACTTTCTACAAATTTGTTTTCCTCAGTAATTTTCCTCGTTTTTCAAAACGAGAATGACCGTTTGAATATATGCAAGCGAACATGAATAATGGACTTACCACTCCACCGGGTCATTCTTTTGATCTTTACAAGTAAAGCAGTAGCCATTGCTAATGAGAGTGCACAGAAGCAGGTACTCCAGCATCGGGAGCGAAAACCCTAGAACTCTTCAAAATGAGTAAAAATCACAAGTATATATCAAAAGTTGTTGATAAAAAAACGTCTTCAGATCAATTCAGCACTAGCCAAATTACAATCTTTTGAGAATATACACGGAAAACTTAGTGGGTCTACACTAGCAACAGAAAAGCAGCGAAAAAAACCCGAACATAGTGATAAGCCTGTGTCAGGCGCATGATAAGATAACACTTGGTCAATCTTCACACTCCTTGCTATGGAATGAAGCATACAAGTGAAATATAAAAGTAGTACACTATTTGTTTCTTGCATCGAGTGAAAATTGTGCTGCAACTTAGCGTCAGGAAAAATGGTATAATTACATCTCGTAATCTGACGAGCCTCAAAAGTTGACGAAGACTTTGAACCGTGATGTACCTTCAAAGGAATTAAACTATATTGTTTTTTTGCGAATGCAATTGGTGAAGCTCATTCGGAGCCATCTCGTTGCTTTTTTTGCGCATCATCATTTGCCTTTCTCGAACTGTGCAAAGGTGTCTTTCCTTAGTCTGCCTAGACATGTTCTGCTTCCTTG